CAACTTAACAAAAGGAAGACAAAAAATCAAATAAAAAATGGGCCAAGGATCTACATAGACACTTCTCCAAATGGACATACCAGTGGCCAATAGGCATGTAAAAAAATGCTCAAAGTCACTGATCATCTGAGAGATGCAAATTAAAATGACAATGAGGTATCACCTCACACCTGTCAGAATGGTTACCATCAACAAACCAACAAATGACAAGTGCTGGCAAGGATGTGGAGAAAAGGGAACCTAGTACACTGCTGGTAGGAATGCAGAATTGTACAGCCATTATGGAAAGCAGTATGGAGTGTCCTCAAAAATTTAAGTATGGAACTGCCATTTGACCCAGTGATCCCACTTCTAGGAATATATCCTAAGAAACCTGAAGCACCAATCAGAAAGCATGTATGTACCCCTATGTTCTTGGCAGGGTTATTTACAATAGCTGAGATCTGGAAACAGCCCAAGTGCCCATCAGTAGAGGAGTGGATAAAAAAGCATTTATACCATGGAATACTACATAGCAGTAACATTCCCTTTGAGACAGCATAGAAGGACCTGGAGAGTATCATGCTAAGTGAAATAAGTCAGTCAGAGAAAGACAAGTATCACATGACCTCACTCATATGTAGAACCTAAGTAACAAAATAAACTGATGAACGGAGTGGATCAGAGATACGGGAGCATGGAGCAGAGTGCGGAATCTCAGAGGGGAGGCGGGGGAGGGTGGGTGGTTGGGTGGGAGGCAATCAACTGAAGACCTTGTATGCATATATGCATAACCCATGGACACAGAAAATAGGGTGGTGAAGGCAGGGGGTGGGGGCAGGCTGAAGAGGGTCAATGGGGGAAAAAAGGGGACATATGTAATACTTTCAACAATAAAGATTTATTAAAAAACAAACAAACAAAAGAAAACCCAAAATAGTCAAGAAAATGTAATGCACAGCATAGGGACTAAGTCAATAACTATGGGCAGTGGCAGGGGGATTGGAATCATCAGGAGTTCACTTCGTAAATTATACAAAGGTCTCACCACTATGCTGTACACCTGAAACCAATGAAATACTGAATGTCAACAGTCATTGAAAATTTAAAAAAATTTTAAGAAGTAAACATTTTTTAAAAGGAAAAAAGAAGAACTAAGGGTACGCCACTAGGGTGAGGGAGGGGCGGATATGACCTGTGTTTGGGAGGGAAACAGGCAGATGAAGGGACAGGAGCAAAATGTCAGAGGCCCACCTGAGGCAGAGGGGGTCTAAAAGTGCCCCTGGGTGAAGAAGGCGGCTAGGAATGTAACGGAACAACCCAGGGATCCGGCTGCCTGTCACTGCTTAAGCCAATTAAGCAGAGACAGGGTTGAGTCATATATGAGCATTTGTTCCAATGATGCTGGCAGAATGGGAGAGCAACAGGTCACCCACAAAAATCTGCTCTGCACCCCCCATAAGCCAGCTGCTTACATTGGTTAGAAGGACAAAGATTACGTGGGAAAGTAGGCATGGGATGATCATTACAGGTTACAAGTCATATGGTCTGGCGGCGGGTGGGGGGCGGGGGGTGAGGGGGAGAGGAGCGAGAGTCACAGAGGGCGGGTGCCTCCGGGCACCCTGGGACCAGATTACAGGTAACAGGGGCTGGGGTTGTAAAGAGCAGGTGCCTGTGGGACTAGGTTGGCTCAGCCACGAGGTTGTAAACCTTTCCATAGCGACAGGCAGTTCTCGGGACAGAAGGATGGACGGCATTCCGATGTTGGCTCCCAGGTCCCAGGGCGTACAGCTCCCAGCCAGGTGAGAATGTGCTTTCTCTAAGCAGAACAGAGCCATCACGGTTAACAGAGCATGATTAATGTTTCCTATAATGAGAGTTAGTTTCCAATATTCCATTTCTGCCCCTAACAGGAACAGCGAGGATGAGGGCAGGGGCAGGAGGCTGTGTGGTTGCTCAGGCAGAGAGAGGGGCAGAGATACCACCTCCCCCTCTGCCCTGTCCAGTCCCTACACCACCCGCACAGCTCCTCGGGACCTGGGCAAGGCTGGGAGAGGGGACGAGAGCTCTGGACCTCAGAGAGGTGGGGTGCAGGTGTGGCAGAACCAGCTGGGAGGGTGGGGCGCAGGAGGCCGTCTAGTGAGACCCCAACGGACAGGGCAGGCACCCACTCTCAGGCACCCTCTGGGGGCACAGCGAACTGTTAAGAAAAGAGAAAAGGTCCTGATAGAACATTTGAACCTGAATTTGCCTAAACATTCACCCCCAAATGATTGACTTCACCTGACAGAGTGGGTTTTTGATCCCAAAAGGCTGATGTACCTTAAAGCAAGTTTGTTTCTTTTCAGCAGGATGTGGTCCCCCTCTCCCCAGAGGAAGCTTTGGGGCGTTTACAAAATGAAGCAACCCCACCTCTGGCTCCCAGAGCTAGGGCGCTCCTTCGTTTCTGGCTCTCTGGCTCGAGCACACACACAGCGTCCCCCGGGGGGCAGATCTGTTTGCTCACCCGCCTCTCCTGGGGCTTTTATTTCACAAGAGCTGCTGTGGTAAACACCACCCCTAGTCCAGTGGCTGGCCTAGTCCAAGGCCGCAGGACTGAGGGAAAAGATCAGGGAGACCTGGCTGGCACAGCTGCCCGGCTTGCACACACTTGGAGAAACACACATCTCAGTGCAGGACTGCACTATGGGCTCATTCCCACAGACAGGTTCTGCCATTGCCCAGCTGTGTGGCCATGGGCAAGCCATCAACCTCTAGAAGCCTCAGTTTCTGCATCTGCAAAATGGGAGAGTCAGGGACCACCGTCCTAGATCTTAAATCATGGGGGCCAGTTGTGTTTTGGAGTTTCCCATTTTGGGGGTGCAGATATAATGTTAGGTCTGATCAAATAACTGAATCGATCCCCCCTCCCCTGGGAACTACCCTTTAGGCCACTTCAGTATGGACATTCCACTTGGAAAGACCATTATCTCTCCCCTCCAGATTTCACCAGAACCCAGACCCGCACAGAGAATTCTCTGCCCAGAAAAAGCCCGCCTAAAGCCCTTTAAAAGCTTCTGACTTCCCGTCGTTGGGTGCTGGCACTATTTGGGGGCTCAGCCCATCTGGTATCCAGATGACCTAATCCTATCTAATAAAAGACAAAAGGGTAATTAACCGTACCTCCGCTATGCTTCCCATTGGCTAATCAGCGAGATATGCAAATTAACTGCCAACAAAGATGGCAGCTGGCAGCCACGCAGCTAAAGCGAGCAGGAGGTTTGCTTGCTCCAGTGATGGAGGAAGCCAAGGTTCCTCGCCTGCTGCGGCCCAGCTCTAAGCTCCAAAAGCAACAGCTCCGAAAGCAACAAAGTTTCAATTATAGAAGGTAAATAAATCCCAGAATAAAAAAAGAAGAAAAAAAAGGAGAGGCTGGAAGCTTCAGTTGCTGGCCAGCCTGAAAACGGCCCTCAGCCCCTCACCCAGACTGGCCAGGCACCCCAGTGGGGACCCCCACCCTGAAGGGTATGTGACCAGCTGCAAACAGCCATCATCCCCTCACCCAGGCTGCCCAGGCACCCAAGCGGGACCCCCACCCTGATCCAGGACACCCTTCAGGGCAAACCAGCCGGCCCCCACCCGTGCACCAGGCCTCTATCCTATATAGTAACAGGGTAATATGCAAACTGACCCTAACAGCAGAAAGACTGGGAATGACTGGTCACTATGACACACACTGACCATCAGGGGGCAGACGCTCAATGCAGGAGCTGCCCTCTGGTGGTCAGTGAGCTCCCACATGGGGGAGCTCTGCTCAGCCACAAGCCAGGCTGATGGCTGCCAGTACAGCGGTGGTGGTGGGAGCCTCTCTGCCTCCTCAGCAGTGCTAAGGATGTGCGACTGCAGCTTAGGCCTGCTCCCTGCTGGCAAGTGGACATCCCTCTAGGGCTGCCGGGCTGCCAGAGGGATGTCTGATTGCCATCTTAGGCCCAATCCCCCGGGGAGCAGGCCTAAGGCAGCAGGTGGTCATCCCCCGAGGGGACCCAGACTGCAAGAGGGCACAGGCTGGGCTGAGGGACCACCCCCCCGAGTGCACAAATTTTTGTGCACCGGGCCTCTAGTCTATATTATAAAAGGCCAGTGCCCATAATGCTGTAAGGACCAAACGACCAGCTACCAGGAGGTGCATTGATGGGTCCAGCCAGCACAGCAGGTTTCTGGGTCTCGCGCCATTTTGCGTGCTGAGCCTCTAGTACATTTATAACCCCTCACCACTTTGGGCTCATGTGTTCCTCCTTCCATGACCCTAACAATACGTTGGATAACGTCTCAATAGCCCTCACTAGTCCAGCACAGTCAATATTTTTGCAGTGACAAAATGAATATTCGAATTAAGTGGGGTGTGTGAAAACTATAAACTTGCACCAATTCAGGTCAAATTTCACCACCCCATGAGCCAGGAAAGCAGTTGTTTTCTGAGCATTTTGCACTTCACACCTCAGGTAAGGTGTGGGAGCTTTCCTGTCCCCCCTCCCACCATGGGATGGAGATGTAACCACAATCCTTACAGCTGCCCCGTGGGGTGCTCATTCCACGCGGGCTTTGTGTGGCCTGCTCGTGGCTCCTCACCGTGGCTCTGTGCCACAGGAGCTGTTTTCAGACTCATTTCACAGATGGGGAACCGAGGCCAAGGTGGTTGAGGAACCATCTCACTTCAGAGTCCTTGCACCCTCACAGCCCTCTGCCTTTGGCTGCAGGGCCCCCTCCCCGCACATCTACTAGAGAAAGAAGCAAGCAGGAAAGCGAAAGCAAAAGCCGCTTCTGGGAAAGCCCTGGTTTCCTAGAAGAGGTGCTCAGAACCACTGGCTTTTCTGCGCCAGGTATTTTCAACCCTGACCTTTTCACAATCCCTGCTCAGGACAGAGCTCGGCAGCTGCGGGCAGGTGGTGGAGGCGGGGGTGGGGGCGGGGGCGGCGCTTGCGCCTCTGCCTGGTTAGCAAAACCCGCTGGACACTGGGCACTTCCTTCATTGTCCTCCCAGCCTGGACAGACGCTCACAGCGCCCTGTGGTCCTGAGGCCCCAGAGAGGTGAGGACAGAGGACAGGCTGCAGGGAGAGCAGGTGAGGCACAGGCAGAGGAGGGAGGGCTGCTTGGGCGCCTGAGGGGTCGGCTACAAGGCCAGGAGCTGTGGTCAGCGCTGCTAGGGTTCAAGTTCCTGTCCTGCCAGTTATGTTCTTTGTGAGCCTGAGAAGGGTCTGAAGTTGAAATACTTTTCCTTTTTTTTAAATTGAATTTTGGAGAGAGAGGAAGTGAGAGAGACAGAGAGAAAGAGAAACATCGATTTGTTGTTCCATTTATTTGTGCATTCTTTGGTTGATTCTTGTGTGTGCCTGACTGGGGATCGAACCCGCAACCTCAGCATATGGACGAAGCTCTAACTGAGCCACCCAGCCAGGACTGCAGTGCGAATTCTTTGATAAATCAGGACAGGAATCTCTCCCTCACGGGCCATGTGAAGTTTACAGCAGTGGTCACCACTGGTGGTCCATGAGGTCCTTAAGGTTGGCAACCACTGGTTTAAAAGAAAACCTGATTAAAGGTGTGATATGACTCACCAAATGGAGTCCCCCTCCCCCCCCCACACTCCAATGGGCCAGTGACCCCAGGGTCCTAAGGGGACAGGGCCAGGCTCCCAGAGTGTGGGAGACCTCTAGACACAGGCGTTTCCCTGGGAGCTCCCTGCAGGCACGGTTTAGGGGTGCCGTCTTTGCAGGAGAAAAGAGGCTGGGTGAGTTGTGGAAAGTGCAAAGCCAACCCCAGCGTCTCCTGGATGGTAGGTTCCTTTGGGAAAGTTGTGGGAAGGAGTGGCCTGGCCCCAAGCTGTGTTTTCAGTCGCCCACCTTTGCTTAGAGTGGATGCTGGGGGAGTGGTGTGCAGGGAGGACTAAAGGCTCCCTAAGCAGGCACACAAAGACCGTCAGAAATATGAGCCCTCGGCCAGGCTGGCGTGGCTCTGTGGTTGAGCATCAACCTAAGAACCAGTTTGATTCCTGGTCAGGGCACATGCCAGGGCTGTGGGCTGGATCCCCAGTGTGGGGCGTGCAGAAGGCAGCCAGATCAACGATTCTCTCTCATCATTGGTGTTTCTATCTCTCTCTCCCTCTCCCTTTCTCTCTGAAATCAAGAAAAATATATTTAAGCCCTGACCAGTTTGGCTCAGTGGATAGAGCGTCGGCCTGCGGACTCAAAGGGTCCTGGGTTCGATTCCAGTCAGGGGCATGTACGTTGGTTGCTGGCACATCCCAAGTGGGGGGTGTGCAGGAGGCAGCTGATCGGTGTTTCTCTCTCATCTGTGTTTCTAACTCTCCCTCTCCCTTCTTCTCTATAAAAAAATCAATAAAATATATTAAAAAAAATATATATATATATATATATATTTTTTTTTTTTTTTTTTTAAAGGAAAGGAAACATGGCTTACCCAGCCATCAACCCCATTGTCTCCTCTCATGTCCGGGGAGGTCAGTAGGGAGGGGACCTGTTCTGACCAAAGAGCTCCCTGCTGTCCCCTCTGCCCTTCGCCAGCCCGGGAGGACTAACATGAGAACTGGGGGTCACAGGTGCTGGTGGAGAAGGGCTCCAGGCAGTTTCTCAGCCTCAGCACCACTGACGTCCTGGACGGGCTCATTCTCTTGTGGGGCCGCCCTGAGCATTGCAGCCTCAGATGCCAGTAGCACCCCACCCCCCACCAATGTCTACAGACATTACCAATGTCCCCTGGGGAGAAAACTCACCCCTGATGGAGATCAACTGGAATCACGCTGGGCTCTCCCACTTACCGACTGCGTGACATCGGTCTCCTTGGGCCTCAGTTTCCTCATCTGCAAATGGGAGCGTCAGGGACCACCGTCCTAGATCTTAAATCATGGGGGCCAGTTGTGTTTTGGAGTTTCCCATTTTGGGGGTGCAGATATTATAATGTTAGGTCTGATCAAATAATTGAATTGATCCCCCTGCCCTGGGAACTGCCCTTTAGGCCACTTCAGTATGGACATTCCACTTGGAAAGACCATTATCTCTCCCCTCCAGATTTCACCAGAACCCAGACCCGCACAGAGAATTCTCTGCCCAGAAAAAGCCCGCCTAGAATCCTTTAAAAGCTTCTGACTCCCCGTCGTTGGGTGCTGGCACTATTTGGGGGCTCAGCCCATCTGGTATCCAGATGACCTGATACATTTATAACCCCTCACCACTTTGGCCTAGTGCGTTCCTCCTTCCATGACCCTAACAATACATTGGGTAACGTCTCAACAGCCCTCCCTAGTCCAGCACAGTCAATAATTTCACAGTGAAACTATGAATATTCGAATTAAGTGGGGTGCGTGAAAACTATAAACTTGCACCAATTCAGGTCAAATTTCACCACCCCATGAGCCAGGAAAGAAGTCTGTTTCAGAGCATTTTGCACTTCACACCTCAGTTAACATGAAGGAGTTTCCTGTCCTCTCCTCCCCTCCCCTCCCACCATGGGACGGAGATGTGACAACAATCCTTACAGCTGCCCCGTGGGGTGCTCATTCCACGCGGGCTCTGTGTGGCCTGCTCGTGGCTCCTCACCGTGGCTCTGTGCCACAGGAGGTGTTTTCACACCCATTTCACAGATGGGGAATCAAGGCCAAGGCAGTTGAGGAACCGGCTCACCTCAGAGTCCTTGCACCCTCACAGCCCCCTGACTGTGGTTGCACGGACCCCGCCCCGCACATCTACTAGAGAAAGAAGCAAGAAGGAAAGCGAAAGCAAAAGCCAGGTATGGGAAAGACCCCGTGTTTCTCAGAGAAGGTGCTGAGGACCTTTGGCTTCTCTGCGCCAGGAACTTTTCACCCTGAGCAGTTTCACAATCCCTGCTCAGGACAGAGCTCCGCAGGCCGCGGGCGGGGCGGGGGCGGCACTTGCGCCTGTGCCTGGTTAGCAAAACCCTCTGGACACTGGATATTTCCTCCGTTGTCCTCGCAGCCTGGACGGACGCTCACAGCGCCTTGTGGACCTGAGGCCCCAGAGAGGTGAGGACAGAGGACAGGCTGCAGGGAGAGCAGGTGAGGCACAGGCAGAGGAGGGAGGGCTGCTTGGGTGCCTGAGGGGTCGGCTAAGACCAGGAGCTGTGGTCAGCGCTGCTAGGGTTCAAGTTCCTGTCCTGCCAGTTATGTTCTTTGTGAGCCTGGGAAGGGTCTGAAGTTGAAATTCTTTTTCTTTTTTTGTAAATTAAATTTTAGAGAGAGGAAGTGAGAGAGACAGAGAGAAAGAGAAACATCGATTTGTTGTTCCATTTATTTGTGCATTCTTTGGTTGATTCTTGTGTGTGCCTGACTGGGGATCGAACCCGCAACCTCAGCATATGGACGAAGCTCTAACTGAGCCACCCAGCCAGGACTGCAGTGCGAATTCTTTGATAAATCAGGACAGGAATCTCTCCCTCACGGGCCATGTGAAGTTTACAGCAGTGGTCACCACTGGTGGTCCATGAGGTCCTTAAGGTTGGCAACCACTGGTTTAAAAGAAAACCTGATTAAAGGTGTGATATGACCCACCAAATGGAGTCTCCTCCCCCCCACACTCCAATGGGCCAGTGACCCCAGGGTCCTAAGGGGACAGGGCCAGGCTCCCAGAGTGTGGGAAACCTCTAAAGTAGACACAGGCGTTTCCCTGGGAGCTCCCTGCAGGCGCGGTTAGGGGTGCCGTCTTTGCAGGAGAAAAGAGGCTGGGTGAGTTGTGGAAAGTGCAAAGCCAATCCCAGTGTCTCCTGGATTGTAGGCTTCTTTGGGAAAGTTGTGGGAAGGAGGGGCCTGGCCCCAAGCTGTGTTTTCAGTCACCCACCTTTGCTTAGAGTGGATGCTGGGGGAGTTGGTATGCAGGGAGGACTAAAGGCTCCCTAAGCAGGCACACAAAGACCGTCAGAAATATGAGCACTTGGCCAGGCTGGCGTGACTCCGTGGTTGAGCACCAACCTATGAACCAGTTCAATTCCCGGCCAGGGCACATGCCAGGGCCGTGGGCTGGATCCCCAGTGTGGGGCGTGCAGGAGGCAACCAGATCAATGATTCCCTCTCATTCTTGGTGCTTCTATCTCTCTCTCCCTCTCCCTTTCTCTCTGAAATCATTAAAAATATATTTAAAAAAGGAAAAGAAATGTGAGCCCTCAAAAGAAGTAAGATGGTTTACCCCGCCATCAACCCCATTGTCTCCTCTCACGTCTGGGGAGGTCAGTAGGGAGGGGACCTGTTTGGACCAAAGAGCTCCTTGCTGTCCCCTCTGCCCTTCGCCCGCCCGGGAGTACTAACATGAGAACTGGGGGTGTCACCGGTGCTGGTGGGGCCGCCCTGAGCATTGCAACATCAGATGCCAGTAGCACCCCCGCCCCTCCACCAATGTCTACAGACATTACCAATGTCCCCTGGGGAGAAAACTCACCCCTGATTGAGATCAACTGGAATCACGCTGGGCTCTGCCACTTACCAACTGCGTGACATTGGTCTCCTTGTGCCTCAGTTTCTGAATCTGCAAAATGGGAATAACATTAACATCTATTTCACAACGTCAGAGAGGATTAAAGGTGCCTAAAGTAGGTAGGTGCATGTCTGGCTTATATTATAGGCTAGTGATGGCGAACCTATGACACGCGTGTCAGAGGTGACACGCAAACTCATTTTTTTGGTTGATTTAAATGGCATTTAAATATATAAAATACATATCAAAAATATAAATCTTTGTTTTACTATGATTGCAAATATCAAAAAAATTCTATATGTAACATGGCACCAGAGTTAAGTTAGGGTTTTTCAAAATGCTGACACGTTGAGCTCAAAAGGTTCGCCATCACTGTTATAGGCCATGGGCACCCAGGAGCCAAATCCTCCCAACCCAGCTGTATAAACCAGAGAGGAGAAAACCTTTTTTTTTTCTTTATTGAAAAAATCTTTGATGCATTAATTCTACCCCAAAGACTATCCCATAGAAATAACCAAACATGTGACCAACATTTCTATAAGGTTCAAAAGTTATTCATAAAAGACAAACTGGAACTGAAAACAACCCAGAGATTCCACAGCAGGGGAGCAATTAAATACGAAAGGATACCTCCACAGGGTGAGATGTTACAGGGCCTCTAAGCTGTTTGAAACGCTCTAGTAATATGAGGAGCCACTAGAATATAATGTTAAGTGACAACAATTCATGCAAAACTGCAGGAGCAGCAGGAGTCTAAATTGGTTTTGCTGGTAAAATCAACGGCTGGCAGTGTTTATTTCCGTGTAGTGAGAGTACAGATGAATCGTATTCTTTGTTTCTGGAATGTCTATTGTAAATCTGCATTCATTGAAGTAATTAGAAGAAAACGGGTTATAAGGGCTTTTGTGACGTCAAAATAGGTAAAGGAGGATTCATTTTCTAAGATTTTTTAGAAGTAGAACAGGAGGAGGAGAGAGGGAAGGAGGAGGTCATGAGAGAAGGGGCGTATCTAGAAGATGCCACTTCTCCACCAGCCCCAGGAGCAAGTGCCAATGACGAGGGGGTGGGAGGGGTGGAGATGAGGGGGGGAGGGCGGAGATGAGAGCCGGGGTGTTCCTTTCCTAAGGCTGCCATAGGAACAGGACCACACACTGGGAGGCCTTGACCCGCAGAAATGTGTTCTCTCATAGTTGTGGAGGCCAGAAGTCCAAGACCAAGGTGTGAGCAGCGCCAATGTCTTTTCATGGCTTGATAGCTGGTTTCCTTTAGCACCGAATAATATTCCGTTGTCTGGATGTCCCAGTTTATCCATCCACTCACCTACTGACTGAAGGTTATCCTAGTGGCTCCCAAGTATTGGCAGCCATAAATAAATCTGCTGCAGACCTCCCTGTGCAGGTTTTTGTGTGGACGCAAGTTTTCAACTCCTTTTGGGTAAAATACCAAGAAGCACAATTTCTGGATCACATGGTGAGACTATGTTTAATTTTGTGAAAACTGATAAACTGTCGTCCAAAGTGACTGTGCCACTTTGCATTTCCATCAGCGATGACCAAGAGTTCCTGTTGCTCCGCATCCTCACCAGCATTTGACGTTGTCAGTGTTCCGGATTTTGGCTGTTCTCATAGGTGCAGGCTGTGGTTTTCAGTGTTAATTTTGAGGAAATTGGCCCGGTCGGCATGGCTCAGTGTCAACCTATGAACCAGGAGGTCATGGTTCGATTCCTGGTCAGGGCACATGCCGGGGTTGCGGGCTCCATCCCCAGTGGGGGTGTGCAGGATGTTTCTATCTCTCTCTCCCTCTTCCTTCCTCTCTTGAAATAAATAAAAATGTATTTAAAAAATTTTTTTTGAGAAAAGTATACATTCCCATACAGAGAGATCCCACATACCTCCCTTTTCCCAATTTCCCCGCCAACAATGGCTTACGATCTCTATTATCACAACTAAGAAGTGGGTGTGGATACAAACCACTTACTCAGATCTCACCAGCCTCCTCTGCTCATTTGTGTGTGTGTGTGTGTGTGTGTGTGTGCACGTCGTCCTATGCAACTTTTCACACGTGTATATTTGTGTGGTCGCGGTCACAGTTAATTTGCAGAAGTTCCATCACGAGTGCCGCCTATACCTCTAGAGCTTTTAAAAACTTATGCTCTACATTCGGCATCGCACATACTACAGGAATACCCTACAATCCTCAAGGCCAAGCAATAGTAGAAAGGGCTCACCAAACTTTAAAAACACAAATTAAAAAATTACAAGAAAATGAGTTTAAATATTCCTCTCCTCATCATGTTCTACAACATGCTCAATTTGTAATTAATATACTAAATGTAGATTCTGAGGGAAATTCCCCGATGTACAGGCATTGGAACCCTGATCTAACTAAACCTAAAGCCCTCGTCAAATGGAGAGACTTGCTTACAGGAGCCTGGAAGGGACCTGATGTACTTTTAACCCAGGGGAGAGGATATGCTTGTATATTTCCACAGGACGCAGACTCACCTGTGTGGATTCCAGACCGTCTAGTCCGACCTTATGTCTCACCGCCCGCCATCTCTGCCTCATCATAGCACACCTGACCAGTGCCCATCTGCAGCAGATGTGCAGACCTGAGCTGGAACAATCTGTCCATTGGGAGGATCACATGTGCCTCCGTTTTGTCTTTCCACATGTCCCAGCTTTGCCCCACATCTCCTTTCCTTTTTCCTTTTTTTAAAATCTAACTACTTGTTTGCTGGTTCTTTGGCCTTTCTCCTTCTTTCCTGAACACAGCCTTTTCTAGAATCTCCCTACCCTACTGTTCCAGGAAGGGCATCTCCCTTTTATGCCGTGACTAGGGGTGTTTGGTATATGCCCCATACATGGAGTTGTCTTGGGCCAAGAGCCTGACATCCTGGGCTGAGAAAGCCCTGTTCCAGGACTCTCCTTTGTCCTGTATTGGCCCCTCTTACCCTTGTGTCAAGAGGGACCCTCTTCTTACAATCCAATTGCCCATAGATGTTGCCTGAGCTCTCTGTTCATGCTGAGGTTGAAGCCGCATGGTGGCTGGTACCATGGATCTGTCTCTGGCCCAATGGCGTAAGCTGGGCCCTCTCTAGAGAAGAAACCTGAGTTCCCTATGATCAATGCCAGAGCCCCGCCAGCAGGCAAGGGGATCCCAAGGCAGTTGCTGGGCATGGAGGCCAGAGGGACATAGGCTATCAAGGAGACAAAACTGAACCTCACATCACCCTACTTGGCCCAGAGATGGCTGGTAGTCAACGACGGGTAAGACTCCACAGGGTGGGGCAACCTAAGACAGGCACAGTCGGGGGCCAGTAGGAGAAAACATGGGGTGCAACAAAGGTGGGGCACAGACCCCCCTCCCCAATGGTGCAGGGGCTTGAACACTAGCCCCTTCTGAGGAAGGTCTCCTGTCCCCATGGCTGCTTCCTGCTTCCCATGCCCAGCTCAGATCGGGACCCAGGTAAAGACAGAGACTGGCTGACAGCAGCTGCCCTCTCACTGCAACAGGACTTGTTTCCCATTTCTACCTGGGACCACAGGGAAAGGGGCAGCTGAAGGAAAGGGCTGTGTCAGGATGCTGCATTCTTCCCTTTCTTCTCCCTCTTTTTTCTAAACACTTCCATGCCTTGTAGTTCTTTTGCTTTCTCTTCTTTTTCTACTACCCTCCATTTTACATATCAGCTGGATCCAGAGGGCACAGCTTACTCCTCCTCGGACATCGACACCACCATCAACCACGGCCCTGATGGACCCTTTGATGCAGCCCTTCAACTTGCTGACGCTTCGGGAAGCCTGTCGCCAGTGACGCCGCCCGCTAGCCAGACCAACAAAGACAACCAAACCAACAACTTGAGGACAGCTGAAATCCCTTGACTGAAGAGGCTGGCAACCTTCTACAGGAATGGGGCTCCTTCTGCGCTCCATCCACTATGTTTATAGCTATGCTCACTATCATTGCTTGCCACTCTTCTTCCGAGACTTAAATGGCCCAATCTGAGAGGTGGCCACTGATTTGCATGCGCTATCATTTAAAAAATAAAAAAGGGGGAATTTGCCGGAAGCCGGTCCATCCTTGCTGCTTGACACAGTCGCTGCAGGAAAGAAACATCTGCACAGCATATGTTTCAAGGGACCTGGCGTATATAGCATACTGTTCTTAATATGTTTGCTCCCCTTAGCGCTGTGTGTTTTAACCAAGGTCACCTCTCCGAGAAAGGTTGTTTCCCCAGGTAGGAATTTTTCCCTGAAGTCAGGGAGGGGATAAAACTCCTTAACTAAGTGCCAGGCGGGTAGTTAATCACTTTAACTACAAACAATCACGCTTAAGCTACATAATCTTTACTCCCTGGAATGGAGATAAGAAACGCCCTAACCTTTGTAATAGAAATTGACAGGATTAAAATCAACTGGTATAAATACAGATGTAACAAAACAATAAACAGCAGAACTTCGCTGGAGATCCAGACCAGAACTTGGCTGGAGATCCTGGCTAGAGATCCTGGCTAGGCTGCTGATCAACTGAACGCTGTCTCCGTGTCATTCCTTCTTCGCCGACTCCGTCCACACCTTTGGGGAACCCCTGGACCTGCTGGGGTTGGACCCCGGCACACGAGGACCCCTGGTGCCACCCTTTCCTGGACGCAGCCACCTGCCTGGCCTGCCGCACCTCGGCTCATCCTGTAGCTTTAACTTTCTGGGCCTCTGTTTCCGATGCATCGCTTGTAAGAAGAGCACGTAGTTGGATTTCGCCTTCTGACCCAATCAGAGTCTTTTTCTTTTAATGGAGGATTTTTATCCTGCTCATAATGATGAAAAATGCAGAAACCTCTGTCCCGCAACATTTATGGAGATAGGCAGTGTACTCGCGCTTCACAGGGGAGGAAAGGGAAACGGAGAGCAGTGAGTGAGTTTCCCTGAAACCACAGAACCGGTGAGAGACGGAGGCGGGCTGTGATCCCCTTGGCCATACTGACTCTATACTAATGCCCCGGTCAGCGTTTTCCTCCCGCAGCGTAAGACACATCTGCCAGACGCCCCGCCACTATGAGGATGGAAAAGAGCCAGGAGATCACTTCGAAGGTGGCAACGACACAGACATCTTCAATCTGCAAAGGTAGGCTCCCCTCCCAGCTGCTTGCATTGGAGGGAAAGCAGAGCCCAGTGACGTCTTTGTAAGAGAAGGATGGAGAGCAGAATGGCCCAGCACCCGTGAGAACACAAGGACACACAAAAACCCGCAGTCACGCACACACAGTCACTTGGTTCCAACATTTGTCCTTAGTCCTGTCCTTCGCCAGCTGCCATCTCCTCTCTGCCTGGCTGAACTGGTGGCGTCCTCCAGGACTCAACCTTGGGCCATTCTTGGCTTCTACAACTCTCTCCCCAGAGTTCACATGCAATTTTAAAAATATATATATATATTTTTTTTTATTGATTTCAGAGACGAAGGGAGAGAGAGAAAGAGAGAGAGAAACATCAATGATGAGAGAATCATCGATCAGCTGTCCCCTACACGCCCCCTATGGGGCTCAAGCCTGCAACCCAGGCATGTGCCTTGACCAGGAATCGAACCACAACCGCCTGGTTCATAGGTCAATGCTCAACCACGAGCCACTCTGGTGGGGCTCACATGCAATTTTGTGGCTTTAACTACTTTCTACACTGTTGGCCCCACAGTTGCTCTCCCAGCCAGAGCAAGACTCATCTATCCGCTGCCTTCTTAGCATCACTTGGATGTCTAATCAGGTATCTCAAACTCAGTCCTCCCCAACCGGAACTCAATGCCCTGCCCAGAAAAACTTCTACCCATCTCAGTAGATGGGATCTTCCCTGTAGCAGTCCATCAGGCCCCAAACCTGACTCACTCTGAGGTCATCCTTGACCCTGGTCTCGTCCATCCCACATTCACTGACAATCCTGTGGATCCCTTCAAATCCATCATTTTGATCATTTCTACCAACCTGGTTCAAGCAGCTGTCGCCTCTTGCTCTGAACATTGCAATAACTTCCTAAGAGATCAGCCTGATTCCTCTCTCGCAAATCTAGTCTATTTTCCAGCCCAAGCATTCGTTTTCACACCTACCTTAAATCAGGGCCACTGCTAGACCACATGGTGCCTTAGTGCTTATTAGAAAAAGTCTACCCACAAATGGATACAACTCTGGGAACACATAGCTCTACAAATGGATGACCACTTTGTGCAATCAATCAATCGATCGATCAAAGTGCCCCTCACTCCTGACAGACACGCACCTCCCCCGATCCCTGGCCCCTAGGTCTCACCACCTAGCAAGTAGATTCTGGGAGGGGTTTCAGACCCCACCTGTGTGCTCAGACAGGGCCTTTGCAGCTCTCATAATATTATTATGTCCATGGAATATAACTGGTACTAAGGGGCCTTATAAATGGTTGCCATGTCCTGTGTAGATGATCTTTTAATCATTAAATCAATTTGTTCTTAATAGCCAATGGCTGGAAACAACGTAAACATATCAACTGATAAAAGAATAGATAAACAACCTAAACATATCAGTTGACAGAAGAATAGATAAGCAAATTGTCGTGTATTTATATAATGAAATACTGTATACCAATCATTTTTTAAAACGACTGATACCTGAAACATTTATATGAAGTTCAAAAATAGGCAAACTGATCAGTGGTTATAGAAGTCAGAATAGTGTTTCCCTCTGGGGCGGGGTGAGTGCTGCCTGGGGGTAGTCACAGGAAACCTGTTCTCTATCTTGGTCTGGGTGCTGATGGCGTGTGTGAATGAGTGAGTGTGTGTGTGTGTGTGTTGTGTATACACATTTATTGAGCTGAGGGCTTCAATTTGTGTACTTATATGCAAACTATACCTCAGTATAAAATGTGAGAACAATTGTAGGCAAATAGTTAGCACATTACAAGTCTTTCACCATTATTTGGCTTCAGCATATCTCAAACCCTGCCACACTCGAATCTCGTAAGATTTCGTGGCCCCTGCAGTCACCTTGTTTTCCATGTTTCCAACCAGAAAGTCGTTTGACCCCTGGGAACACCCCCATTTCTCCCGTGGACAAGAGGAGCTCGGATTTGGAGCCACAGTGCCAAAAACTCGAAGCTGGTGTCAGTTTGCAAAGGTAATCCGGCGAGTTTTGTCTCAGGGAAAGGGCTGCCCCTGCTGAAATGCTCAGGCACCCCCACATGTGCAACTCGTGTGCCCCAAAGGCGTTGGCCACCACGCCGGCCTGTCTTCCCACTCAGGAAGGCAGTTCTCCTCGGGAAGAACATTCCACGTGGTGAACTAAACATTTCGGAGAGCAGGTCGAGATCTAATTAGGTCCATGCCATTGAGCACTGGGAACCTCAGGTATACATTGTCCCGCGGGGATGGGGGCAGGGTGGGGGCTCACCTTTGGGAGGCCCATGAAGCAGGAACTCCGTCTTTTTGGCTCACGTGACCCCAAGAAATCCCTGTAGTGTGTCTGCGTTCATGAACTCAAGCCCAGTTATCCATTAGCCGCAGGTGTAGCATCCCAGGCTCCAGCACAACGTGGACAATCGAGATGCTCGCCGAGTGATTCGGTGAACCGCCGTTGTGCCTGGTAGAACCAGGCTGCCATTCGACGCTATGTCAGTGGGCCTTGCTGCCTCGCACAGGAGGCACTGTGGCCGAATGTCCATATTTGAGGCATTTGGTTTAATTAAAAAACACAAGAAGCCAAGCTTGCCTTAGCTGTCAAGCACCTTAAAGACAAGACTTTAGAATTCATGGCCCCTGGGTCCCTGGCCTCTCCCTTGGAGGGCCAATCCCACCAGCCTGAGGGGCAAGCAAAGCAGGCCAAGTGCCAAGGAGAAGGTTTAAAACGTTGCTGGTCGTTTATCTTGGCCTCTTGCTGTGCTACTCCTGACAGAGGCAAAGTCACACCTCAGCCGCCAAACTCAAGGTCGTCAAAGCCGAGGGCGCCTCATACAACATGGCACCTCCTCCTTCTGACTGGCCTCTGCCTCTACAGACCTCTCAACCTCCCGCCCAACACCTGGATTCCTTTCTCCTACCTTCCATGACCCCCCGCTCCCTTAGTCCTGACCTTGACCAGGACCCTAGCATTTGCCCACTGCCTCTGGCTGGTGACACTTCCACAGTCTCTCTGACCAAGGTTGCAAATATCCATCAGGACCGCTCTCCCTTCTCCTGCCCTCTGGCCTGCGCTTCTCCCCTGTGTCCCTCCGGACGCCCCTCTCACGGGTTTCTTCTCTTCATGGAACCAGCAGCTCCCAGCAGCGCTTGGGGCCTTCGCACGGTCAGGGTCAGGCCGGAGGTCACGGGGTGTTAGGGAGATGCAGGGAGGGTTCAGAATTGGGAGCGGCAGGGGCTTCTGGAAACCATCTGGGCCTAAGAATCTGGCCTTCCCATCGGGGACACTGAAATCAAATCTTTATTTAGTTATTTATTTTTATCCTCACCAGGGATATTTTTCCAAGAGAGAGGGAGAGACAGAGAGAAATAGTGATGTGAGAGAAACACATCGATTAGTTGTCTCCTGCACATGCCCCAACCAGGGCCCAAGCCAGGGAGGAGCCTGGAACCGAGGTATATGTCCTTGCCCAGAATCGAACCCAGACCCTTGGGTCTGCAGTTCGAGGCTCTATCCACTGAGCTAAACTGGCTAGGGCAAAACCAAATCTTTATTTCCCTCATCCGCAGGGACGGCGATGACATTCCTCCAGGTGAAGATGTGGAGCAACAAGATGGAGATCTGTCTGATGAAGAAGGAATATTTTTGAAAGAGTTTCCCTTAATCAAAGGGGAACTAGAAATGGCCATCAGAAAGTACCGTGCCCTCGCAGACGACATCGACAAAACCCAGAAAAATTTCACCCAGACCAGCCTGGTGACCAACTCGGTCGCTGTGGTCTCCGGAACCATGAGCCTCCTGGGGTTGGCCCTCGCTCCGGTCACAGCCGGAGGAAGCCTGATGCTTACAGCTGCTGGTCAAGGTTTGGGGGCAGTCGCTGGGGCCACCAGTGTGTTGACCAGCATTTTGGAATACCGTCGCAATAAACAAGCCCGAGCTCAGGTCAGCAGCGAACTGTCTGCCCCTGACCCAAAGGTCGAGGAGGCTGTGGCCTATGCCGTGGAGGCCGGAAAGACTGTCTATAACTGTGGGAAAACCCTCAAGGAAATCAGGAAGAACATCAAGGCCTTGCAGGTCGCCAGAGCCCACCCGCGCCTGGCCGCTGCCGCCAAGCGTCTCCTGGTCACTGGGGAAGCCTCGGCCCGCACGACCAGGAGGGTGCAAAGGGCCTTTAGAGGCACACCGCTAGCGATGGGGAGCAGCGCTTTCTTGCGGAACACCGTATTGAATGGCCTCTTCCTGGGCATGGATTTGGACAGCCTCCTGAAGGACTGGCAGCAGCTGAAGCAGGGAGCCAGGACCGAGTTGGCGGACTTGCTGAGGGCCAAGGCTAAGGAGCTGGAAAGAAAGCTGGCAGAACTCACCCAGCTCTATGAGGAGCTGCAGGTGAGGCTGGAGGGAGGGGAGAGGGACTGGGGCTCAGGGGCACCCAGGTTTAGGGGAGGGTGGAAGGAAGCCAGTGCGTGTGCAGTTTGCATGGCTGCCCCTGTGGACGAGGGCTCCGGAGATGAGGGTGCCCAGCTGGCCAGGCCTGGCCGTGCCTCTGTTTCTCCCTTGATGCCCTTCCAGGTCCCTGGCCTGGGAAGAGGGGCTTCCCAGTTGTACAGAAGAGGACACTGAGCCACAGGGGGTGTTGGGGATGGAAATGTGCCCCCCTAGTATCCACATGCGGAAGCTCCAGTGAGACTATTTGGAGACGCTGCTTCGGGGAGGGGTTGGGGTTGAATGAGGTCATGGCGTGGGGCCGGAACCTTGATCTGGGCCTCGCAGCCTCCGGAACTATGAGAAATGACGTGTGGTTTTCTGTCACGGTGGCGCTGGCTGGCTGGGACAGGGAGCTTCTGTAACTGCCCACCTCTCCCAGGGGGAGCGGGTCAGGATGAAGCTGGGAGCGGACTCCAGAGCTGGCCGGGCTCTGCCCGCCTCTGCCCCAGAGTGCTCCTGAGCTGGGTGGTTTTGTTTCTTTACCGAAACTCTTGCAGGAAAAAAGCCTTAGGAGCTCATCTTCCGAGGAAGCCACGGCGACTCTAACTCAGCCCCCAGCCAAGCAAGGGGAAGCAGGACCCCGACCCCGGGCGGCAGGTGAGGCGGAGGCAGGCTAACAGCGGCTCTGAGGCAGGGTGGGGTGGGCTGGGGTGGCAGAGACAATGCCTGGGACTTGCTGGCGGAGTTCCTCCCTGTGCTCTGTGGGTCCCGGGCACTGTCAGCTGGGAGTGCTGGGAAGGTGGAGCTGTCCTCTCTCCTCCATTGCCACCCTGTGTCTTCACTGTCCCCCGTTCCTTCAGGGAGGGGGGTGGGGTGGGGTGCTAACTCAGTGGCTCCCTTGGTCCCACTCACTCTCTCCCAGTCGGTCCACATTCCTGTTTCCCGCTGGGCTCCCTGTGAAGCGCTGATGGTAAGACAGTCGGTCCCCGGTGGGGAAGGTGTCACCGGAAAATAAAAAGGCCTTTCGAAGGGAGAGGGAAACTATTGTTTATTTGCAACCAGTAAGGACAGCTCTTCAGGAATCAGGAATCCAGGCAGAAGCCCAAATAATATTCGGATTAGGAGACAAAGGCCAGGGTTATCGATGAGACAGGGAAGGGGGACAATTACATCAATCAAGGAAGGCAAAAGGAATTCTAGGGGCCAAACAGGCAGGCTTAGGGAATAAAGAGGGTCTGTGGGGGAGGATGCGCATGTGAAGGACAGCGGTGTCTCTGGCTTGAGCAATGAAGGCAATTATAAGGTGGATCAAACGCAGCCCTGCCCTGAGCAGCTGGCACAGCCATATGGGGTAATAACCCCTTCCTTGGCCAGAGAGAGAGCCATAAAGATCCAAAGCAACTCCAACCAGAACAGATAAGATGGGGATGTGAAGGACAGGGAAATGCCAACGATAAGGGGAGAGGAAGGCATACGTTCACAGAGGATAAAGAAAAGTCACAGAGGACCGGGAAGAAGGAAACCTACTTTCACAGAGAACAGAGAAATGTCGACAGATGCGGAAAGAGAGAACCATACTTCCACAGGAGATAGAGGAATGTTGCAAGATCAGGGGGAGAGAAGGACGGGGGCACCATGTGCGCTTTGTCCTTTGAAACAAAAGAGTGACCAATTGGGAGAGCACAGGGTCAGAACATGGGGAAGGGGCCCAATTAGAAAGGGTCAGGGTCAAACAAAGAACTACAGCATATATACTAATAGACTGGAGACCAAGGGACACAAGACAGATTACAGATTTTAGATTTTTGGATGTAGAATTTTCTCCCATTAGAGAGAGAGAGAGAGTGAGCAGGCTTTTCCCCATTTGGTGGCCCATTCCCAGAGGGACCCCTCTGGGACCCCCCTGCCCAGATGGAGTTTGTATAAGCTTCCAATAAACGTCCATATTTTTTTAATATATTTTTTAATTGATTTTTTACAGAGAGGAAGGGAGAGAGATAGAGAGCCAGAAACATCGACGAGAGAGAAACATCGATCAGCTGCCTCCTGCACATCTCCTACTGGGGATATGCCCACAACCAAAGTATATGCCCTTGACCGGAATCGAACCTGGGACCTTTCAGTCTGCAGGCCGACGCTCTATCCACTGAGCCAAACCGGTTTCGGCCATTTATTTTTTATTTTTTATTTTTTAAGAAGCCTTTTTGTCCACGAGTTTATTCTTCAAACTTTGTCGGACAGGGACCCACGAGAAGAAGTCTGTACCCTGAACCCTACGTTTCAAAGGCATTTCTATTGGTGCAGATGACATCACATAGGGAAGCGAATTCTAAATAATGTTATTTTTCAGTCCAGTGGTCGTCCATGCAGCAGTCACAGTAACTGCTGTCTGGTCATCGCGGTAAGCAGTGTTTTCGGTACAAGATTGCTCAGGCCCAGGGAGAGGCCACTGGAACCTTCCAAAGAGCAGAGGCACACTGCATGCAGGCAGGTCCTCAGGGTGGCAGCTCCAGCTCCATTTCGAGGGGCTCCGTTTATATAATCCTTCACAAGGGCTTGCCCATGTTCCTTCTTCATCAACTCACCTGCTGTTTTTTCTCTTCTCTCTTTCTCCACCCGCTGGGCAGAAATCGAGGGATAGGATCCTCCTTTGTTTGTGCACAAAAGGATTCACTGGAACCTGCTCAACCAGATTCCATCAGGAAAGCGAGAGGCCCTGTCTCCCCAAGACCCCAGTTCTGGGCCTCCTTCCTGCCTTCCCTGTTCACCTACCTTAAACATATGCTTGTTTGGGTCGATGTGTTAGCTGCTCTCTTGAAAGTAGTGCATTGACATTAAATACATTTTTTAAAATTTCAGAACGTAAAAATATAGGGTGTGGATGAAAGGGGCCACATGCTGACCTGTAAGCTCAGGGGAGGCCTGCATGGTGGTCTTGCAAACTCAGAGACCTAAAGTAACCACAAAAGATGGCCTGAAATTACACTTTAAAAGCAGTTATGGTGGGCAATTACGTCCTAGGCCGTTATCTTCACTGACAAGGTCAACCTTTACCTTAACCGAGCCTCTCTGTCTTTTTGCATCTATGATACCATACCCTTGAAATGTCTGGGTAACTTGTAACTTCCCTTTTTCTGAAGCCCCTGGGGCACAACCAAATGTGCCCGGGCACTAGGACAGATACCACAAATTCCTTCATTATCATGTTAATTGTTCCTGCACCCTCCTAAGTATGTGCCCATCATTTCACTTTTTATCCAATCCCAGGGGTTTCCCTGCTTTGCTTATCCCTCCTCCTTAATCTATCACTGCCGGGGTCCAACCCCAGCAGGTCCAGGGGTCCCCAAAGGTGTGGATGGAGTCGGCGAAGAAGGAAGGTCACGGAGACAGTGTTCAGTTGATCAGCAGCCTAGCCAGGATCTCCAGCCAGGATCTCCAGCCAAGTTCTGGTCTGGATCTCCAGAGAGGTTCTGCTGTTTATTGTCTTGTTACATCCGTATTTATCCCAGTTGATTTTAATCCTGTCAATTTCTATTACAAAGGTTAGGGCGTTTCTTATCTCCATTCCAGGGAGTAAAGATTATGTAGCTTAAGCATGATTGTTTGTAGTTAAAGTGATTAACTACCCGCCTGGCACTTAGTTAAGGAGTTTCATCCCCTCCCTGACTTCAGGGAAAAATTCCTACCTGGGGAAACAACCTTTCTAGGAGAGGCATCCCCTCCCTGACTTCAGGGAAAAATCCCTACCTGGGGAAACAACCTTTCTCGGAGAGGTGACCTTGGTTAAAACACACAGCGCTAAGGGGAGCAAACATATTAAGAACAGTATGCTATATACGCCAGGTCCCTTGAAACATATGCTGTGCAGATGTTTCTTTCCTGCAGCGACTGTGTCAAGCAGCAAGGATGGACTGGCTTCCGGCATATCACCAATGGATTTCATGTAACCCACCTCCGTGCCTCCTTTGATTGCAAATGTATAAATACAGATGTAACCCGCCATTCTCCGGAGCATTATCTCAATTGGTTGAGGTTCTGCTTCCTGGCATATGTTGACAGTTTGGCTCAAATAAACTCACAAAAACTCTTTACAGGTTTCAGTGGGTTTTTTTATGTTAACAAGGGGATGGTGCTAGCATGCTTCCTGGCTTTCTGTGGCTGTCATTAGGCTGCCTGCTGGGGACCCTCCCTCAGGCTGTTAGGACATGGATTTTTTTCCCTGTAATCACCTGCGTTTTCTCTCTCATTCTCAATGCTCTCCTTTGCCTGCGGATCTACTGCTTTTCCTTGTGCTGCTTTCACTTAGCAATATGTTCTGCGATTCAATGTTCCGCCTGGCTCTTCTAAACATTGTTTTTTCAGGTTGTAAAATAATTCTCTTGACGGTACGTACAATCTTTTAATTAGACATGTATTAGTCATCACTTTGTCAAAATCCACTCAAACTGGCCTCTACTTAAAAAGCTTAGGGGTGCACGTGGGCTTCCGGTGTGTCGGGAGCCAGAGGATGACGATGATGTCATCAAGCCTCGGCCTTCATTTCTCAGACTTCCTCCACCTGCAGGCAGAGGGCCCAGCACCCTCAGGTACGCCCCCTCCCACCTGGGAAGAGGCGGGCCCAAAGCCCAGAGGCCCTCTCTGATTGGTCACCAGCCTTTGCCTGTGCCTTGCTGGGAGCTAAATGGTCTGGGAATGAAGCCAGAAGCAAGAAGAGGAAAGGCAACAAATGATACACTAGAGTAGATGCACCTTCCCTTTCAGAAACCCTTAGATCGTTTCAAATTCCTTATTACACATGGTGGCAGAATGAGAATATGGTTTATGCCAAAAGCTGCTGCAGTATAATTAGAACTCTTTTCTGAAAGTAGAATCTCTGAACCGGGGATACCGCAAATACAAAACGACCTCATGAAGGGACAGGAGCAGTCTCCCCCCACCCCGCACTCTCCCCCCCCCCCCCCCCCCCCCCACATTACATTAATGAAACAATTGTTGGAAATTAGGAACGATTGTACAGGGGGAGGGGAAAGATGCCACATCAACATTTTGGATACACCTGCCAGTCTTGCGATCCAGGGCCGCTAAACAGCCGTAACTCCGCGCCTCGGCCGGCGTGTTTTCAGCTTTTGTTGCTCTCAGTTCCTTGTTTTAATTTTTTTTATGAGCATAACTGTAAGTAAACAGCTTTCTGCACATTTTACATTGCTCTCTTGCAGTGGTTCTCAACCTTCTGGCCCTTTAAATACAGTTCCTCATGTTGTGACCCAACCATAAAATTATTTTCGTTGCTACTTCATAACTGTAATGTTGCTACTGTTATGAATCGTAATGTAAATATCTGATATGCAGGATGGCTTAAGGCGACCCCTGTGAAAGGGTCGTTCGACCGCCAAAGGGGTCGCGACCCACAGGTTGAGAACCGCTGTAAGTATGAGCACCCTTAAAGTTCCGAATAAACATTATCCATAATAACACGGCATATAACATAGATAGTCATCAGCTTGGGGATTTGCTTGTTTCGTGGCATGTCTGGAGTTTGGAGCAAAAGGATGAATTAGAGAAAGGAGCTTTGAGACTCACCTCTGACCCTCATTTGCCTGGCGTGTCTGAGCTTTGGTTTCTTCAGCCATGAAGTCAGTGTAACCTGGGTGAAACCACCACTCCACGTGGGCGCCGATGGCGGTGCCCCACTCACAGGGATGGAAGTCTGGGAGGAAATACGCCGACAGACCTTCAGACCCTTGATAGACGTTTGAGCCCAAATCAAAGGAGGCGGGAGAGGTTCATTCTTCCCTCTTTCATTCTCAGATTGTCTTCCAGAAGGGGCGGAAGTTCCTGAGATAACGCCTCCTCCTCCTCTGCCTGGCCCCACCCCCTCTGCCTGGCCCCACCTCCTCTGCATGGCCCCACCCCCTCTCCTGGCCCCACCTCCTCTGTCATGGCCCCACCCCCTCTGCCTGGCCCCACCCCCTCTGCATGGCCCCACCCCCTCTGCATGCCCCCCACCTCGCTTCCTGGCCCCCACCCCCTCTGTCTAGCCCCACCCCTTCTGTCTGGCCTCACCCCCGCTGCCTGGCCCCACCCCCTTTGTCTAGCCCCACCCCTGCTGCCTGGCCCCACCCCCTATGCCAGGCCCCTCCCCCCCACCTTCCTGACAGCCTGGGCAGCTCTCCTGCGGCCTCCCTCCCTGCCAAGCCTCCAGCCACAAGCTGCTCTCCATGGCTCCGTCTCCTTCTCTGAAGCATCATCTGCTCCACCTGGGGTCCTGGCGAACAAATGCCTCACCTCCCATCGCCACTCGTTACTACATCTTCACTCCTCACCGAAGGAAGCCCAGTACCTCTCCAAGCTACTCAGGGCAACCCAACCCACCACCGTCCTCTCCTTTGGGTGGAGTGGGGTGCCACGAGGGGGTGCCCTGAGAGGGTGCCAGCCCTACGGTGGTCAGGCAGACCACGAGTTCTGAGGAAGCTGTCCATTCTCACAAGTAATATGTTTTATGAAGAAGAGGAAGAAGCACAGATCCCAATGACAGCGGAGCAATCAGCTCTCAGACGCTCCCTGACACCACACCCAACACTGTGAGGCTTTGCCAGAGTGGGGGACCCTTCAAAGCGGCTAGTGAATTTGTCCTGCCCATGCTGAGGTCTGTGACCTCTGCTGGCCCACTGTCCTGCCCGTGACCTATCCTCCCATACCAGAAGCAAATTAGGGATCTCAATCACCCAGCTGAGCCCCAGAATGGCTGGGGAAGGGGGGCAAACCCCAACTGAGGTTGGGGTTCCATTGGCACCTGACCAGCTGTGGATGGTCTCGAGGGGCCTTCTTGTATCATTCCGGCTTGTCCCAGACCACCCTCTCCAACCATGAGCTTCAAGTGGCCCTTGAGTTTGTGATGAAATGCAAGGTGTTGTCACCCATAAGTCACACTCTCTTGAGTCTAAAATCTGACTTTCAACCAAAAGGCCACTGTGTTCAGTCAGTGCCCAGTGTCACATTCAAAGAAAGTATGTCAGAAAGCAATGTGAACCCTTTCTTGATCTTTTAAGAAAATGAGGAAGCAAGAAGGAGGAAGGGAGAGATATTCTTTTTTTTTTTTAAATCTTTACTGTTGAAAGTATTACATATGTCCCCCTTTTCCCCATTGACCTCTCCCAGCCCGCCCCTGCCCCCCACCCCAGGCCTTCGCCACCCTATTGTCTGTGTCCATGGGTTACGCATATATGCATACAAGTTCATTGGTTGATCTCTTCCCACCCACCCACCCTACCCCGCCTTTTCTCTGAGGTTTGACAGTCTGTTCAGGAGAGATATTCTTAATTCATGGTCACAGTGCAGCCACACAAAGTCACAGTGCAAAACTGGCCTTCCTTTCTCTGATAGGCAAGCTCACGCAGACCAGTACTGCTCAATATGGCGGCCACTAATCGTGTGGCTCTGGAGCCTTGGCAATGTGGCAACTCCAAGCTAAGGTGTGAAATACACACTAGACTGCCGAGGCCGGTTTGGCTCAGTGGATAGAGCGTCGGCCTGCGGACTGAGAGGTCCCGGGTTCGATTCCGGTCAGGGGCATGTACCTGGGTTGCGGGCACATCCCCGGTGGGGGATGTGCGGGAGGCGGCTGATCGATGTTTCTCTCTCATCGATATTTCTAACTCTCTCTGTCTCTCTCCTTTCCTCTCTGTGAAAAATCAATAAAATATATTAAAAAAAAAAAAAAGAAAAGAAATACACACTAGACTTTAAAGACTTAGGAAGGGAAAATACATAAAGTATCTAATTGATCATGTTAATAATTTTAATTGATCACACACTGCTCTAAATACAATATAATGTGACCATAGAAAATGTTCACTTACATACGTGGCTTGCATTATGGTTGTATTGGACAGCACTAATGTTGACAATCCAATTTCAAAAATGAAGGTAATT